CAAGATATACACTGACACAACTTACAAATCGGCTATCTCTTATATCACCCTCGATTTCGTCATTTTCCGAAGAATCTTTTCGTCTTTACGATTCAGAATCGATATCTTCTTACGAGGCCGATTTTACGATGCACTCAGAACTATTGCGCCGCGTGCAATAGAACGCGTCGCGCATCGATATTGTCAGAATATAATAGGGGTCCCCCATGGTGTGCATTATATTACCGGCATAATATTATCGCTCTGTTGTAACGCGCCCGTGACGGCCGTTAAGGTCTAGTAAGATCGCCTGGTGCCTGGATCGGGGGTTCGCCTGCAGCTCGCGGGTGGGCGAGGTGGTGCGTGTGAAGAGCTAAACAACAGTCTGGTTATTAACGAAGTTTCTAAGTTTTCTCGTTTGTGTTCGTCCGCTTCTCGCATTGTGCCCTCTTGGATCGCAAAACGCATTACATGATTGTTGAGTGTCACGGTTCCTTCGTGAATAGGATTGCCGACGTAAATGTAAAGAAAATATACAGGGAAAATCTTTCTAAATTTGTAGATTGCATACATGCAAATGCAAAAAGATTAAGAAGTAGAACGAATTTAAAGTAAACATAAATGTTAAAGTAACTTTACATGCTTTCATATGATTCTTGCTAAATTAAAAACACGACGTTTACAATGATAGGTGTTAATTAATAATACAATAATATAACACGTACGTCCAGAATGTATCATGAAAATTGACTATAAGTTTATTGTAATGTATATTTTTTGGCAAATATTTTGTTTCTACTGAAACGAGACATTATTCATAAATAGAATCCTTCGAAACTTATGAACCTTTTATATAATGTGCTATATACTTTTGCTTTTAAACACTTAAATTTTTCAAGATATCCATAGGACAAATCTGTATTTGTCAATCTATAAAACATAAGAGTTAGATATCACGCAAGTATTTTGTTGTTATTTATCCACCGTTCTAATTGGTTGCCAATCATATAATTCGGCCGAATAAATTTGGGTTGATTCTGTTGGGTTGGTTTGACAGCTTGACATTTAACGATTAAATACCGTAAAATGATTGATTGAGAGCAAACAAAAAAATTTGAAAAATAAAATTTACATAGAGAAAACATAGCAAAAATAATTTCAAGTATGTTTAAAAGGATCTATTGTGATAGTGGATCAAATACATGCACGCTTAATATCTGATAATTGCATACTCATGATATCGATGCGATGATAAAAAATAAAGCTCGCGAATTGCGATGCGTATACGAGATTAAAGAATGAGCTTATCGTTAAGAGAGTTCTCAAGTTCGTTCGTTTGCTCTTGTGTGTTTCCTCGCGCTGCATTCGTACGCTCGCGTTAGAGCGCATAAAAGCTTGGTACTTAGAGGAAAGCGAATAAAGAGGCAGTGCGAGTCTTTTCTCGACTCGGCAACCGTACTACCGAGTGAGCGTAGTCGAGGCTTTTGGACGCCTCTTAGCGCTTTCGCAGAAAATCGAATTACTCGTTTCGCGTTTGCGGTCCGCCGACGGCAGGAAATGAGCATCCAGTCCTTCACTGGGAATGGGCATTTTCCGGAGCCGCTTCGACGTCCAGGACGACCTCCGCGACGTCTCGCCCGATCTCCGTGCAATTTGATTTTATCACGGATGCGAATCTAAAAACAAACGATCGTAGAGTTTTTCTTTTCCGCTAGACAGCTCGCAGGCTAGAAGTTATACGCGATAGATAGCAGCTTCCGTGACTTTAGAAAACTAGACACAATTTTTCCACAAACATTGCCAGGATAAACATTTAAAACGATTTGCAAATCATAGTTGCGAAATCTGGATAATGTTTTAGTATATCACGTTGATGTTTATAGATGTCTACTAAATTTAATAGAAAAGCTCTCTCTGATTAACATATTCACTTATTCGTCTCTCATTTTCTCTCATTTTTTTAATTATTTTTCGTATCGTTAAAAAAGATATTTAATTCACGAAATTACATTAATTAAAAATATTAAAGTACATTTACTGTATTTTTCATTACATATGTGAATAATTACATTAAACATTTTATTTAATATATGCATATTTTTAATAATCTTTATAAATTATTGAGAGAATAAATGGAATTTACTATGATGATGGTTTTGATAATGCTATTGCTTTTGCATACTGATTACTTTCATTATGATTACTTGCTTTAGTAATATCAATCTTTTAGATACCAACAATCTCTATTGTACGTGTCAAACAATTGATACATGATTCAATAGCAATGAGAAAGAATTAATCCAATTTTGGAAGTTATTATATTACATACAATATCTTCATCGTATCTATCAGATTGGCATTCCAGATATCACGTACTATTTTAATATCTAAAATATCTAAAATTACATTTCTTTTATCTTTTTATTATTCAGATTGTGTTATTATATTAATATTATTCAACAATACTAAATATTGCAAATGCTTAACGTATAAATGATTCTAAACTTAACAAGAGAGAAAGAGACCAAATCGTAATCAGTTGTGCGCATTACGTTTTCGCATATATTCCTGTTTTCAATATTTACTTATTTAAATAATTAAACACATATTGTATTCTGTTTGCACTAATTTAAACCACATATCGTCAATCTATTAGTCCATATATGTATTTCCATATTAATAATATATGTGATAGAGGCGCGATTGCAAATACAAATATTTTTGATTAGCTGAAAATGGTGTATGAGGCGTATACGAATGTTTGACGTCGAATTGGGGTCATTTATTACTTTATTTGATGATTTAATGAAATAACCAGGTAAAATTTTTACAAAGGGAAACTTTAATTAAAACATATAATTTAGACAATATCTATAGTTTCCTTCTTGGAGACTCGCGCTTCCATTGTAAAACTTGGCTTGAAAGACTTACAAAAGCATCTACAGTGGTGCCGGAATATGTGCGACGAGGCAAGTGTAGTAGTAGAAATGTTGTCGACTTTACCTTATCCGCGAGTGAAAGGAAGAGAATGTTATAGAAAGAAGAAAGGGAGATATAGAACGGAAAAGGAAGTGCGACGAAAAGAGCTAGGGAGTAGAAGGGAGCTGGAAACACGTTTCGCTTCCTGCCGTCACCTTGAAGCCATCTCTTACCGGTTTACGAGGGCACCCACGAAAGTTTCGGTACACTTGCACTTAGAGTCATCCTTAGGGGATAGTGCGATATAGGTACTGTAATGCCTGTTACGAATACTGGCCTGAGAACTGTGGGTTAGGTTTATGACTTGCACTACTCGTTCGCATGCCACCGAAAGACATGAAACGCTTAAATTCCTTTTGCTACCTTTTTGATGGCGACTTTCATCCTAGTTACTTCAGTATATCGCGCTAACGATTTCTCGGCTGACGGCATGGAACCAATTTCAGTGTTTGCGCACATCACTTGTTATTTCGTAATTTTTGACTTGACAGTTTTCGTGACGCGTCCACTGACTGCGACGGCGCTGAAAGACGTGAACTATGTTCGAAGAAAGAGCAACGATGCGTTCAATTTCGTTAAGCTCGAAATAGTGCAATCAAAAAAAGAACTTCACGTAGAACGACGATGTTAGGATCTAGCGTTCGTTTAAAAGAGTTGATAAACGAGGATATCTACTGATTGATCGACAGTCTGTTAAAGTAGTCCCCGCACGTGTACGTTGCCCTGATGCGGTGAATCACAGGTCACGAAATCTTATCATCTGACACGGAAAAGTGGATAATCTTTTTCACCGTCGAACCGACGATCGATTTCAAGCTATTTTCACTCACCACAGATTGAAAAGTAACGTTTCGATTGAACACGTAATTTCAATCTGTACAAGTTCACTAGAGAAAAACTTGGTTTTTCTGGCGGAAAATGCATGGCTGACCATATGACAGATTTTACTACTTATTATAACGAAAGTATCACGATTTTGTATTAGAACGCTGAAAATTTTGTAATATGTTTTGTAATATAATATAAAGTGAAATAAAAAAATTGTAATATAAATTATATGTTTAATATAAATAATATTTTTATATTTTTGAAATTTTGTTTAACATGTATATTTGCATGTTTAAATAATTAGACTCTAGTTGTGTATAACTATTATATTATATGTAAACATATGCATATTTATATGTAATAATTATGTAGTAAGAGTTTAATTATTTAAATAAAAATCTTAAACAAAATTAAAAAATATGAAATACATCGCAGTTTATGTAATTATATATATAAAATGCATAATGTATATTATGATACTAAAAAATTTTAGATACATATTATAGTTTTAAACAAATATAAAAAACAAATATAAAATAAAATTATGTCCAAAATGACATTGTAAAGATACATCGACGACATTGTGATGTTTAAATGCAAGACAACTTCTGCCCTTTCTGAAATAACTTCCTCGCGATAACGTGTTAACAGATAATATCTATACATACTAATTAAGCATCGGATCGATGAGGAGTCGGGAGTATAATTGCTTTATACGTTATAATAAATTTTGGCATTCTGAGAAAGCAGTGCAGATTGTATAAACAGAAACATAATCCGGCGTCTACTTGTTTAACGCAGGACGTTCGATCATTTATCTATCCTAAGGGGACTCCGGCGGTCGAATACCATGCAACTGACGTTGGTGTCTACGTGTGTTTCTCGCTATCCTAAGAACGTGTCTCCAGTACGAGGAAGGCGGGTCTTACGGTTTGTGATGGCGGAGGGCACGTGAACCCCGACGAGCGCATGCGAACCACCAACCCTAAAGCTCACGGCAGACCAGAAAGGATCACGTTCTCCCTCTCATTCTCTCTCTCTCTCTCTCTCTCTCTCTCCCCTCTCTCCTCCCCTTCTCTCTCTCTCTCTCTCTCTTTCTATCTCTCTTTTACTCACTCTCTCTCTATCTCTCCCTACCGCTCTTTCTTACCCTCTCTTTTACTCCAGCCGCTACCGAGTCAGGTAAACCCCTCGTGTGTCAGTCCGCACCGAGATTCCGGCGCGAATCGTCCTTTCCCGTCGTGGCGTCACGCCAAGTTCTAGATGGATGTCGCTGATCCGCATTATTGTGTCAGCGATTTACGTCGTCGCGCAGGTGTTCCTCGCTCGTCCATCCCTTGCGGAAGGTCAGTGATGAAGTTCGTCGTATGCTAACATTGAGAGTAATTGCTGTCTGCTTATGTTCAAAAGGGGCACGTTCTGTGCGTGAATAGGGTTATACATAACTTATTCGGGTTTATATAGCGTTGTGAATCAATTCCGCAAAGTTTGTTTTGACTACTCTGCAAAGTTAATGTTAATTACGTCGTAAAACTGCCACAATATATGTTGCGATATCTGTAACTATGTCTTTTCGTATTTACAACTCGTAGTGCTCTTATTATTTCTCTATATGCAGGCAGCGTAAGTTTATATTAAAGTTATAAACGCGAACGTGCAAAAGATGATGTAAGAGACAAAGAAAAGCGGTGGGTGAGTTACCATTAGAGCTTGATGCGCTTTGAATCAACAAGCATTTTTTGTATAACATATTCTCGATGCGTATTTATTAAATTGTACATTATTTTGTATAGATAAAAAATTATATAAATATTAATAATATTAATTTTATAAATTTCGAATACAGCGTATCTTTAAGCTTAAAAATTTATTTTTAAAACATCATTTTTAAAAACATTTTTAAGATACTTCCATCTATGACTTTTGATCTGTTTATGTTTAATTCCATAACGAGTATTTTGCATTGAAGTTGATGCATATGAATATCCTAATATTTTTTTATCAAGTATTGATTGGAAAACAGGTTGGCACTTCACTTTGCGGTGCCATGATTGTGATTCCGAGATTTGAGTTAGCCGGTAACTTTCGGCAGTTTGCGTGCTACAGGGTTTCAGCATTAATTTAATGACATGCCGTAACACGCCGCGATGCAAGCAAGTAACGACGCGTCATGCACGATAAACTGTACATGATAGGTACACGACATTTTCATTTTATTTGTATAATCTTCTCCTGCCAAGAAGAAGCGACTTAACAGCACGTCTATTATAATAGTGAATTTAATCACTCGCATTACACCGAATCAGTGCGTATTAAAAGCTGCTTTACATAAAATATTTGAATATAGTGATACAATATAATCAACTTTGACAATGAAATGATACATATATATATATTTTGTTAAATAATGTGACAATATCATTAGTAGATAGTTAATCATGTTTAAAATATTTATATACTTTTACATTTAACTTTGCTAATTTCATGTAAAGCAGCTTTTAGTATGCATTGATCTGGCATAATGCTAAGTGACCGCATTCGTTATAAGTTTTCCAATTCAAAGGATAAAGATGCATTTGAATTAAATTCCTAATAACTGACAAACATCTTTGATATTCAATTAACAAGTAAAGTTTTAACAACGTTTTATTGATATTAAAGACATTATTTATTTGACATCATCTTGCTACATGAATATTAAATAATATTTTTTTAATTATACACACTAATGTTATATTCGATGATTTTTTTTAAATACGGCAGTTGCTATATTTTACATATTTTTAATTAAATTTGCAAGTTGCCACTCACAGATTATCTATCAAGACAATCTGTTAAATTTCCTGTAAAGATTGCTCCATTATCAAGCAACGTGTTAGTTTTATGTAGACAAAAACGTGTAAAGTATCGCATACGTCTATGATAACGTTATCATGAAAAATTTAATTTCTCTTTCATGTTTCTTTGCGGTCTATTTTTACCTCAGCTTTCGGAATCAAGATAAAATTTTCTAGGTAGAGTTAGCACAAAGAACACGCAAAAACTTTGTCTTGATTTATCTACAATCACGTTTTCAACGAAACTCGAGATTATAGTTCGAGATTATAGAGATGTACACATCGGAGTATGGCGGGTATCTTATTCACCGATTGGTCCGATCTCTCGATTCTTCTTGCCGTGGCTATTATCCTCCAATATCCTGATACATTATTTATCCCCATCTATAAAACCTCAGAGTTTTCATGAAGGCGAGAAACCTTCCCTAGCAGGGAATTTTTTCCCAATCCTCCTGGCACGATCCTTACCCGCCGACAATAACGAACGGACGAGACGACGAGTACGAGTGAAGCTTTTCTACCTTCCTCATCGTCTTTTTTCTCTTCGCTCACTTCGCTCCCTTTTTTCGAGCTCGTCCCACCTACCAAAAGCCTTCCCACATTGACTGCCAAAAAAGCCTTGGCAACGGCACGACACTCATTTAATTTAAGGATAACAAAGCGCTATCTGAGACAAATCCCAGGATTAGTTTTACGACGTTCCTATTTACACTTCAGTCAGAGGAGATCATTGTGTTTCACATTTCTCTATACATATATTTTCACCTCGACGCACATTTTCGTATAATATACCGAATAAATAAAATGTTTTTCTACCAAATCATCAGACAACGTTGTAATTTAGATTACAAACTTTATGTCGTACATCTAACTGTTTTAAAAAATTACTTTTTTTACATAATATAGTTATTATAATCTCAAAAATTTTTAAAGTAATAAAAGATTAGTAATTAGACAAATTTGTATGTATTATAGTATATAAAAAATCGATTAAATTATTGAAAATTTTGAAATTATTGATTTAATATACTAGAACTTCTAATAATTTGCAAATATTTTTATAATATTGCGTTTTACAATAATTTTTTAATTAACTGAAAAAATATATTTATGTACATTTCAATATATAGCATTTTATATGAAAAATTAAATTTAATAAACTCTTTCTTTCTTTCTCTCTTTTTCTCTGTTTCTCTAATTCTTATTAAAGAGGAAACTGCTGCGTTAAGTTTTATATATACATGTTTAATAATGTGTATATAAATGGATAAAACAATATTATTTTTATTTATAATAACAAGTAAGTCTACTTAAGATAATAGTGATTTTAGATTTCATCAGATTGAGAAGGCATTTTCTAATTAATTTTAAATATTAAACTATTAATTAATCTATTCTCTGAAGAAGAGAAATTAATGCTAAAATAATTTTTATTATAGTACATAAAGCGCAGAATATAAAGGAATAATTATATAGGCAAAGAATATATATATATAATATATAATATATAATATTTTTAAATATTACAAATTTCTTGAAATATCTTATTAAAATTATCTTCAGTATTATTGAAATTATCGTTAATAACGGTAGCACAGACCATGAATCACATTCCATGTGCTGCGATCTTACGCATACTCAAATTAGATTGGCTATGATTGACTCATTTGAATCGATGCGCATCATTGTTCGCTGTATGCCATTGTATGCATGTTGTATGGTGTGGACCGGTCATTAATATACAACGCTACAAGGCGTTATTCAGAAATGAATATTAGGTGAGAGATTTAGCGAAATATTGATTTAATAAATTGTTATAAGATATATCTTATGAAATAAAAAATGTTATTATTAGTGAAATTAATCAAATTAATTTTGTTTAGATTTGAAATGATTTATAATTTATTTTAAATTTCAGAGTAGAATTTTATTTATAATTTTATATGCTGTGTTTTTTTTTAATACGCATATGTCATTTAATATATATTTTATATATGTATTCTGATTACTTCGTATTACATATATTACACGTATTACACATATAAATTACAAATAGAATTAATAAAAAATTTATTACGATATAAAAACATTAAAAATATCTGTTTTATTAATGTAAATTCTATATTAACTTGATTGGGTTTATAATTATAATAAATATATTAATTGCAGACTAAGGAATAATAATAGAGTATAATAATAATATGTTTATTAATAATAATAAGAATATTTATAACTGTTCTCTTTAATGATAATTTAAGATAATATTAAAAAATAATATCGTACACATTAGAAATTCTTGCGCGTACATTTAATAAAAGTATATGCGCTACTTAACGCTGCTGGTGTTTTCAAATTCACTGTACGATCACACTGTTTGATTCAATATGATTCTAAAAAATTAAAAATTAAAAAAATTTCACAAAAAAATATATATTTCTTATTAACACAAACGAAGCCACTAATGCCAGAAAAAAATTTTAAGTGAAATGTTAATAAAAAAATTAATTACACTTTGAGTCAAATAAACCTAAATAGATTAGCAGAGTTAAATCAAATATGTCATAATAAACAAACTTAATAATAATGATTATTCACATCTTCAAATTATTTAAATAATAAATTAAATCATTTATAGAAGAAAAATTATTTATTTTTAATTTTAAAAATTATTTATATTTATATTTTCAAATTATCTCTATAATAAATAAAATTTACATAATAAATTAAAAATTTAGTAAATACATTTCTCTGAGATAACTAAATATTTACTGTTTGTAACATTGATTACGTGTTCCAGAATGTTTAGGGAAGAAATGTGACATCTCTGGACATGTACACAAAATATCGATATGAAGTAAACGAGTAACACACACTAGTTGCATTTTAGTTTATAGAACGAACTGTACATAGCGCGAGAACAAATTGGTGCAAATATTTGTCACTATTTTTGTTCATTAGAGAGTTGCAGGTATCGATATCTTAAGTAGTCGAGATAGATGTACAACCGGTCTTTGTTAACCGTGAGATAGGATCCCAGGGTTGCATCGAGGGAACAGTTCCCTCGACCATTTCGCGCGTGTACTCATGATTTCACGAAGTCTTTATTTCGGGTATACCGTGGACAAATGCGACTAACGTATCGAACTTCCGTCCCGGCTAATTTATGGCGTTGGGATTAGGGGAGTAAAATAGGGAGGGAGAGGCCGGAAAATGGCAATTCTGCAGTGCGGGTAACTATCCCCTTCTGCCTCCTCCTTATTTCTCGACCTAGCTCGCTCGAATGGATTCAAACGCTTAAGAGCTCTCTCTCTCTCTCTCTTTCTGCTAGCCATAGTGAAATATCACTGCTAAGAGAAAGAAACGGTCACCCCCTCCGGGGGTTGACAAAAACAGGGGTAATAAAACTTGGAAGCGTCCCTGTATACCTCCGACCGAACTGGGAGGATACGTTCGAACGATTACCTTTCCGGTTACGTACCTATACATGCGCCTGAACCTCTTCGGACCGA